AAAAATCATAATAATGATATCACAGATAATATCGAAACAATTGCAAATAATTGTCTATTATTTTATTTAATCCTTCTTGCGAACAGGGTTTTGGCTTTCGATTTATAATCTCTTATATATATAATTTCTAATATTTAATATCTTTAAATTTGTTAAAATATTGTTACAGAATCTCTTGGGGGTCCTAACTTTATTCTTACCCTTCCCCCAGATCAAGTCAACCAAAAATCAAAATGACTTTATTTTGATTCTTAATTTTATTAAACAGTCAAATTTTGTAACTAAAAATTTACATTTTGACATTGTAAAAATATCTAACCTAACCAAAAATTATCATTCTGACTTTCATAGTTATTTAGACATTTTCATTTTAACTTGATGTGTTCCTTGCACAGACTTCTATTATAGAAGTCTGTGGTTCCTTGCTACGCATGGATAAAGGTTAAATTAACTTAAACCTTCTTGTTAAAATGAATTCTTAAATAAATAGGAAAAAGCGAGATTTCTATTAACAATAATTCAATGAAATAAATAAACTTAATGAAAAAACAGAAACTATATCAGGAAAAATTCATTGGGTATATTCTGTCACACTTTGCAAACTGTATGTGGCAAAAATATTAAAATTATTAAAACAACTTTTTCAATTCAACATCATTGTGATATTATTGTTAATATTATTACCTGCTGTTCTACGTGAATCTTTATGTCTCTTTTTCCATATTTTGATATATATCACGTTCGATGATTACTTGTTTTTATTACATATATTTTAATTTAACTTATACTGTATCTTAATCGACTTACGCATTTATGTTTTAATTCGGAATGTATTAATTTTTACATCATCGATTTTTAATATAACGATGAACGAAAGGAGGCAGCGTTTTTGAAGATCCTGGATGGTAACTGCAAAGATTCCAAGGACTTTAAAAAGGAAAAGAATTCCCTCACAGAAATTTATAATTAATAATGGAACATAGTAATTAATAATTTTTTAAATATATACTAAAGACGCCTATTCAGTGATTTTAGTAATTAAAGCATATAATTAATCACTAATTTTCAGCATTAAACTGAATTATGTACGAAATTTTTTATTGTTGAAAAGAATTACGGCAAAAAATATCAGAAATCACTAATCAAATGTTCGGTCTGCATCGGTGGAGATTTTCTTTCTGCACGCGTATAATCTTGGTCGTGCAATTATCTCGTTGTCTTGCATAACTGTGTTATAATGTAATGTAAAGATGAATATGATAATTCGATAAGATTGATAATGAAAAATTGGAATCCAGATCGATTTCATAATGTTATTTTAAGAACAGATTTGTAAAAAGAGATTAATAAAGTCAGTATATTCGTACGCAAAACATGAGTTATTCCATCATTATTTTCCTTTCTAGGATAACAGGGAAATAGAGGTGTTTTTAATAATCATTACAGGTAAATAACATGGCATACATTTAGCTCGCGACATAATTTATGTTTATTTCTATCCAATGTAGATCAGCTTCTCTCCGTTTAACTCACTTTTTATCTTTTTCTAGGATGTGGAAGAAGATAAGGGAGACTACAGACAATCTATGTTGATAGAAATGCACATCAATGGCTGTGTTTATCAGAAACAACAACTTTGCAACTGATGTAAGATTCGTTAAAGTATGGATTGATTTATACATTTAGATCTAGTGAGAAACTAAAAGCAAGTCTACTTATATTAAAGAATTTTACAATTATTGCAAAGCTGCTTTTATCTTAACCATTGTAAAGAAATTTAATTGCAAATAAACTGTCAGTTATAGGTCTTCATTTACATGTAGTCAGCTGATATTATCTGCTGTTATTTTTGGTCAAAATGATAACAAGTAACACATTAACTAGTCATTTTTGTATTTAACTGCTTTTGTAAAACATATAATTAGATGTAATTTTTCACGAAATCTTTATAAAAATATAAAAGACTTAGAAGAAAGAAATCGTTTAACCCAATGTAGATTAATCTCGGTTTAACTTTTTTTATTTTTACATCTACTTTTACTAATATAGATTAACTTCAATCTGGATTTATTTTACTCCTTATCTTTTCCTAATTCTTACAACTAAAAGAAGATAAAGAAAATAGATTAAACCGAGATTAAAGTTAATCTACACTAGAAATGGACATCAGAGCTAAAAAAAAAAATTATAAAAATCAACATAGGTAGAAACACAAATCGTTTCCAAAAAATTATTTAATGTTTCATCTTTTTTTAATATGGATTAACTATAATCTGTTTAATTTCATATCTATTTTTTAAAACTAGAAGAAACAAAAACTAAGTTAAATACAAATTACAATTCAATTCACAATGATAGAAAGTCATTCCAAAAAAATGACTTGATATCTATTTCTATTAATGAAGATCAACTTAATTTCGGTTTAATTCAACATCACTTTTAAATTCTTAAAATTGAAACAAGAGTAAATTATAGACAGAAATTTGAATTTAACCTACATTGATAAAAAAGACACAAGTTATTCGACAAAAATTATTTAATACACATTTCCACTAACATACATTCATCTCGGCTGTATGTAGCATCTTATTCTATTTTTTTAGAATTGGAAAAAAAAACAAAGAGCAAATTAGATGAAGATTGATGTTGAATCTATACATTAATGGAAATGGACACAAATCGTTTTAGAAAAAAAATTATTTCACAGCCGGCGACTTCGCGATTGGCAGAGTGTCACTCTTTCGATCCAAAGATACGTGATTTCGGTCGACGGGACAGATCGGTAGGTATAATTCACGATGAAGATCGTCACATTGCCACGGTCGTCATGGAATGCGAAGCATCGGCGGATCCGAAGAAAATACACAAGAGTCGCGATCGCGGATGTCCTTCCTCGACGGGAGTGAATGGGAGGGAAGAACGACTCCACGATTCCCACGAAGCGTCCTGGTACAGAAACTGACAGAAGCGTCCGCGATAGCTGAGTGGAGCGCGGCTTGGCGCGGCTCGTGGAGCTCGCGAGTTTGCACATTGGGTCGGCAAACGGCCATGATTGCGTACAGCGGCGCCACGGAAACGAGGCGGGCCATGGCGGAGGCTCGGTCGACAGACGGCGTGGCTGTAGCCGCGGCGCTCCATCCCCCGCGACTCGCGACGTCCAATCGCGCACGCCCGGCCGGATCACGTGACCGGCTGGGCCAATCCGCGGAGCGGTCTAGAGGCACGTCCGGTGTCGCCGAGTTGGGAGACGGGCAATATTCTGACAAGCGTAGAAAAACTCGTCAACAGCGGCCGCCATTTTACGTTAGCTAACGTTAGTCGATGCTCGTGTGGTAACGGAGGGTCTCGCGAACGGTTTTCCCGAGCGAATTTCTGTGGCGAGCGCGGCGGCCGCGTACGTGCCGCGACCCGCGATCGCGTCCGTTTGCTCGCGTACGCGATATCGCGCGCGAGTGCACGGGGATAAACGCTCATTTCCCGCTGATCGTTCGCGCGCCCCGTGTGTCGCAGTGTGTCCGAGGCTGAGAGAGAGAGAGAGAGATAGAGCGAGAAGAGGAAGATGGTACCAGAGGGCCTCGGGAGCGACATCGTCGCCGTGAGCTAGCGCCGTGCGCGCAGCCAGTCGTTTGGCGAGTCGTCGTACGGTCAGTACGTACGTTCTCGCGTTGGATATACATACGATTGTTGGTATTTTACGTGAGACAAGTGCCGAAGGGTGAGCAAGAGAGTTAAGAGAGCGCGCGTGAGAGAAGGAGAGTGAGAGAGAGAGAGAGAGAGAGAGAGAGAGAGAGAGAGACACAGATAGACAGGCGCACACGCGCGCACACGTACACACACGGGACACACTCTCGCATACCCCACGCACACATACATTACACAGAGGACCGTGAGTTAGAGTCGAGAGTGAGAGCGCGAGTAGAGAACGCGAGGAGAGCGGGAGAGTCGCGAGAGAGAGATTATTCGGCGGTGCGTCGGAGTCGCGAGAACCTAGCCGCGAGGTGAATCGAATTGTGACGAGACGAGCCGCCGCCGCCGCGATCTGGTCATCGTCGTCGCCGAGACGCGTCGTCGCGCGCTCATCATCTCGGCGTTCTTCGGAGTGGCGGAGTCGCGATTCGCCGTCGTCGCCGCCACCATCGTCGCCGTCGTCGTACTTCTCGTTTCTCGACGCGGTCGCTGATCTGCCGTCCCGTCCTGTCGCCGGCGACGCGGCGCGGCAACCGTCTCGTCGTCGTTCGCCGGAGTGAAGGAAAGTGAGAGAGACAGAAAGAGAGAGAGAGAGAGAGAGAGAGAGAAACAGAGAGCAGCATCAGACATTACTCGTCGTCGCCATCATCGCCGTCGCCGTCGCCGCCGCCGCCGCCGCCGTCGTCGCCGTAGTTGTTCTCCGCTGGTGCTTTTGGTGCTCGGTGGTTTCGTTGGTGCATTTCTACCGCACGGTGTGTGTATCATTACTTGTGCGTGTTCGCCTGCGCTCGTTGGGCTCTGACGCCGGGGGTTCGACGTACCCCGAGCTCTACGATGCCCAATGGTTGACCGTGCATCGCAGGATGCTACACGGGGACGCTCCACGCGCCACGGTTCTTACTGTTGTTGTTATGCGCGCGAATACGATTGCGGTACGGTGAAATTGTTACGCGGTTGCCCCGCCGCTGGCAGGGAGCAAGTGGTAGCTGTATCATCATCATCGTCGTCGTCGTCGGCGATCGCATTGTCATTGATAGATTTGGTAACAACAGAAACGACGAATGTAGCTACGGCGCCAGCGCCGCCCAGGACCACGGCGACGGTGGTCTTCTAGTTGAGGAGACTAACGGCCAACCAAGGGGCTTCACCCAGCTACCCACGGTGCCGTTTCGTTCGCGAAACGCGTATACGGCCGGACGCGGCCGTGCTACCTGTGTGTGCGCGCTCGCGCGCGCGCGCTGGTGGTCGAGAGGGATCAGCGAGAGACGGGCGCTAGTGGGAAGGAAGAACGAGAGGTTAGGTTATTACGGAAGAAAGATAACAGCCGCGCGGAGGAGCCATGGCCGACCACCTGGTGGACGGTCCTCCGCCGAAGCGGCCCAAACTCGATCCGTTCCAGGGGACGTCGGACTCGACGGGTAAGTTGTTCGCCAATCCTCTTGTCATTTTTGCCTTTTTCTTTTTTTTTTCGACCATCACGATTCCTCCGCTTCCTTCCTTTCAGCCCGTGTTGGAGTCTAGAGCGAGCCTCGTTTCACTAATGTATGATTAACTTTAATCTCGATTTAACTTACAGTGTTTATCAATAGGTCCGCTGCTTGAAACACCAGATATTCCTGCAATTAAAGTGAAATAAATATATGTTCGAATGTTGAAGAGAGAGAAAGATGAGAGGAAGCAACGCGAGAACTTTTGTTCTAGATGTTCTTTAGAGAAAGGTAAAGAGCGAGATTGAAGTTAATCTTATATTGATGGAACCGGACCTAAGGATTGTGAATTGAAGATTGGAATTCGATCAGATAATTTTTATGTTAATCCGTTTCATTCTTTCGATCGATTATATTCTAATCTTCAATTCGCAGTTTTCTCAATCTTCCTCGTGCGAGATACGGGCTTTTCCCTTCTTCCGATATCTTTAGGTCTCTTCTTTGTGGCTCATCAACTATCCGCAGAATAAAATAACAGTAACATTACAACTATGTTATGATTTTCTACTCGACAATAAACCTGTAATTTTTAACTGAACTTCTTGCACCGTTTATTTTTTCTCTTTTTCTTCAACTTGCAGAAAAATACAAAAGGTTCCAACTGAAAAGAACGCAAAGTAACTATCACGTCCGTTGATGTAAAACGTGTGATCAGACTGGACTTGAGGTTGGATTGAAATTTAACCAATTAAAGCAAAGTTTACTAAACTTGAAATCGGTTTTCTTTCTCTGACTAGTTAAATTCCAATCTACTCTCAAACTGTAGTCAGAGCTTTATGTTACAATTACAGGTATATTCGCGATGCTTGAAATCTCTAAAAATTAGAAGGACATAGATACATTTGGGTGTTGAAGGGGGGTGGGGGGAGAGAGAGAGAGAGAGAGACTGCTGTTCAGTAGAAAATTATAATATTCATGTAAGACTAGGTCCACAACCTCGTTTCAAGTAACTCTAAAGCCGTAAGAAATGATCAATCGCAGTCAATTATTTTTCTCGCATTTAACTATGGTTGATCAGTTTCTTAAGGACTCTTAAAACGAGGTTGTGGACCTAACCTATGTTCTTATTTGTGTTCTGCGAGCATTGTACACTTGATGTACTCAAAATGAAATAGATATCTCTTTCAAGTTTGATAAGAGCAAGATTTAGTCCAGTGCAGCGATAGAGAAAAGGCCTTTTGTACCTGACGACCTGTCTCACTTTTTTTCTCTCTTTTTTTTCTTCCTTCCGGGAACCGCGCGCAGTTCCACGACTAACCTTACGCAGGAATACGCGGTGCACGCGTACATCGCACGTACGCATACATTCAAACACACGTACACGCGCACACACGGCGAAGAGAAAAAAAAAGAGAGACCCGGGCCGAGAGGCCCGGCGCGGTTTTCACGATTCTTTCGGGCGCAGCTGACCGCCATCGCTGTGCTGACTGGCCAGCCAGTTCGCCGTCTGTTTGCGACGCGACGCGACGTGGTGCGACTCGCCGCGTCGCGATGGATCGCCCAGGCGTCGCCGAATCTCCGAGCGAAGTCTCGCGTGAGCGCGCCAAGACGCTCGCGGCGTGCGCTGTCGAGTTTCGCGGTGACTTCGATCAAAATCGTACGCATTGGGTACCTGTTCTCTGTGTGGAATTAAGCCTGAGACACAGTTCAACAGTACAGGCGATAGAAACAGGTTATACTGATCCTATCAGAATATCGTGAATTCTGAGGTACGCTATAAAGCCTTGTGTCCGTGATGCTAGAAATTGGTCCGAAATCTCGGATGAAGAAAGAACTGATCAATTGCATATTGGTCTTATGACCAAATTGTTCCAATGTGACTTGTTAATTCTTTCTCTGTCCGAGATCGTGAACTGATTTCTAGCATGGTGGACACAAGGTTGAAGGCCGATATTCATATAATTCGTTCTTATATTAATACCATGTTAGTAATGTTTTGAGATACTGATACTTCATCTCACTTATGACATCTTGAAACTGACTTAAGACAGTTTGAAATGTAAGAATCGATTATGAATATCAGTCTTAAAATATTATAAGTCAATTGCAGATCAGTATTCATAATCCGTTCTTGTTTTAGGGCAGCTTTAAGTACAGTCTTAAGGTGTTATAAATCAATCACAGGCTACTACTCAAAGTCTGTTCTTATTTCACGACCGTCTTAAGTATATCTTAATGGTGCTAATGAGTTATCTGATTGGTCTATGACATCTTAAGATTGTGTTCAAGACAGTTTTAAATATAAGAGTCGACTATGAATACCACCTACAGAGCAGTATTAGCATTTTAAGACATTTTTTCTAAAATTTGTAGAATGGAATCAAATTTTAAAGAGTGAAATCTCATTGTTAAAGATTGACAATCGAATCACTCTTTTAACATTGGTTTAATTGTAATTATTTGTCAAAGATTTTAGAGAATTACTTAAGACCATCTTCAATTTTCCATTATAATATTTGAAAGAGTTTTATTATAATATATTTGAAAGAGTTTTATAATTTTAAACAATTCAGATTGTCACACATTCATAAAGTACATTCAACAGAAAAATTCAAATTTAAAAATGTGATCTTGCAACTCGATGTTATTTTGTTGTGATTTTATATAATATCCCACATTAGATGTTACTAGTTATTTAACAAATATATATATAATAATAATATTGTTCATGTGTGTTTCATTCACAATTATAACAAATATTTATTTACTAAAATTTAATTGCGACAACTAATATTGAATTTTTTATTGTCCTTCTTTCCCTTCTTAAGGAGTTAGTCATATTAGTATTTACGGTTTCTCCTAGGTTTGTTACATCATGTTCCTATTGCGTGTGCTTTTCAATTGTGTCTTTCTACAGTAAGCCATTACCGGAGCTTTAAACCGTAAGAAATTGACCAATCACAGTCGAATGTGAGAAGAATAATCGACTGTGATCGATCAATTTCTTATTATAATAAGCTTAAAGCTTATAGGTAAGGTACGCGCGAAACCTCGCCGTTCTCTCTTCTGTTTTGGCGACGCGATGACCATGATAGCGTCGTTCCGCGATACTCTTGTGACACACACGACGCGGGCTTTGTCGACGCAAGATGGATGATACACGAGGATAGCCGCGGCGCGGCGCGCCAAGTTTCGCTCGGGGATTTACACGTGGACGGTTTACACGCGCTGCGAATCTATCGAGAAAATAACTTTGTACATTACTTGCTCCGTCTTTCCACATTAGTGTCCATTTCTATCAATGTAGATTAATTTTAATCCTGATTTAACTTGCTTCTTATCTTCTTCTAGTTCGAGATATTAGAAAAAGGTAAAGAACTCAGAGCACATAAAGTTCAAAATCAGCACATGAGATATTTGAAAGACATCTAAAAAGCGTCTTGAAGCACGGGAAGAACGATTTTGCTGAAGTACTTAAAAATTTAGCCGGATACAAATCTAAAAATAATTTTGTTGGATCATCAAAACAATTATGTATAGGAAATTTAAACATGATGAGCTGTGTAAAAGATGTTGACATTCTAGCAATTTAAGCGTCCTACATAATTACACATATTTTGATGGTCCAACAAAATTATTTTCAGATCTGTAGTTAGCTAAAATTTTAGATAGATCAGCAAGTCTTTTCTGTGGTCATTCTAAAAAAGTGTGGATTTAATAACATAAAGTGTTTATACAATTCTTCTTACTGTGTTGTATTATCTCCAATGGATTTATTATAACGTTCTAGGTTTTGAATCCATACCTTGATGAAGTTGATATAAATTTTGTGTGGATTTTAAATCTACACCATATATCATATTGATGTTAACCTTTTTAGATCCGATTTTAATAGAACCGTGTCAATTTTTTAAATTTAACTTAAGGTCACCGTGATTTATTTTAAAAAATTAATTATTTTTTTAATTTTAACTTTTTTTACAACATATACATTATTATGTATATCTAATCTGAGATGATGTCAATAGAACTAAATACGGATGTCTTGAAATTTATGTACGTTGTGCACAAAGTTTGAAGCAGTAAGCCCAAAACACATGAAATGCATAACAGTGCATAAACATAACATAAGACTGCTGGACCAATGAGCATCTTATGTTAATTAATATGGCAACTTTATGTTGGATGCTTATTGGTTTTATGTTATGTTCATGCTCTATTATGCATTTCATGTGCGATAGGCTTTACTGTTAACACCAGTTTGGTGAGAATTATTAATAGACACCTCGTGATGTTAAATCTATACCGATATTTTTTTTAAGTAGAGACATTTTGCGAGAAACATTTAAAAGACATTTTAAAAACGTCTTACATTCTGATTATGTTTTGTGTTGTCCGGGAATAAATTAAGAGATTAAAGTTGATCTATCTTGGTTGGTAGTGATGGACATTACACTGCCTTGTTTTGTTTTGAAACGAATGTGCTATACTGACGTTGCAGTTCTGTACATTCTTCCAGACATACTCTAGATTTAAAACATAGTTGCGATCTTGTAGTGCATGAGGGTGCATGACACTTTAATGTTAAAGATTACATCTCGCTGGCATGAACGAAGCGCTAATATATATATATATATATCTCTTTGTTCTTCCTTTATTTTTTGTTTTTTAAATTACTCCTTTGAACACATCTTAATCATCCCTTAACAGTTTTCAAACTCGAAGTTGACGCACATAACGCTGTAATATATTATCGACTTGTAATTATCTTTTACTCGGATGTAATAAAACGCGGACTCTTCGAATCGCTTCTTTGCGAGGGTATTCAACGGACAAAGTCACAGAAACAGTTTACTCGAGTTTTCACAATCGCCAAAAGTCGCGGACGTGCGTGACTAGTCGTTGACGATAATCGAAAATTCGAATTTTTAAATTTTTCTGTTTCTGCTACTTACAATTAGGTCAGTAGTCATAATCAATTCTTATATTTAATATCATCTTAAGTACATGGAAGGAAAGGTTTTGCTGAGGTATCCAAATATAAAATCTAAAAATTTAGCCACATACTATGATATGAAAATATTTTTGATCATAAAAATAATTTTGCAAGACATTTGATGGCAATGCTGCAAAAAGTTTTAATATTCAGTTTAACATCCTACATAATTATTTTTATGGTCCAACAAAATTTCCCGAGCTACATTTTTAGATACTCTTCTCAGCAAAACTGTATATCAAAATATTAATATCTTAAGACATTACTTAAGACGGTTTCGAAATAAGAACCGATTATGAATACTGGCCTTAGAGTACCATAATCCAGAGAACAAGCTTTGAATAGTGTATTCTCCTTCGTTCTAAATTAAACGAAAAACTGTGATATAGTAGTGGGTATGCCGCCTTTATTGATGCACCCTGCTTATACGAACTACGGGGGAGGTGGCAGTGGTAACATGCAACAAATACAGGCCCCAACGCAACAGCTACATCTGCAACAGCATCCACTGCAACACTGGAACAACAATACGGTCCAGAAAAGAAGTAAATATCATTATTAGATCAAAAAAAGCGACAATTTTTGAAAAATCATCAAATTCTGGTACCGCAGACCAAAAAAAAATTGAAATCTATTTGTTCGTTCGATCATAGTACCATACGTTTCTCTCGTTAAAATTACTTGTCTCAGTCTCTGGTTTTTAGTGACACCTTCCAGTTTCACCAATACTTTCTGATGGGTGATAGTTTTGGCATATTGTCACTATGGTTCAATAACTTTAGTCTATTGTCGACACGGTTAGAGAAAAATGAGAAAGAAATGGATGTCATGATAATTTATCTTCGAATAAAAAAAATGGCAGAGCGGCAATACGGATATATTAAGTATTGTCTTATTTTGATCACGGACTGATTCACTTTACATAGCAATGGAGAAAAATTGGATCGGTGGTTGCTATAAAGGTACATAAGAATTCAGGATAAGCCGAGTTCCTCTCTTTTCTGTAATGAACACCGTGAGATATTTCTCGATGTGAATCAAAACGTAACATAGACATGCGACACACACGCGCCGAGCTCGTGGACTTGCGGAGGAATTGCAAAGGTGAAATTAAATATGCATACAACACTGTGCTTGTAACATAAAGAGAGTTTACGATACAGCGCTGATAATAAATAGCGTAGGTGGGGAGTCGACTCGGTCTATATCAATTAAATCTTTTATAGATATTTATAAATGAACGTAAATATAGAATAAAAATCCTATGCGTGCGCAGACACATCTTGTTTAGAGTTTTTGAAAAATTTTTGCATTTTATTTTCTTGTTTTAGGATGAAGAGAAACGACGTTCTCTTACGACCATGTCGCGTCGGGAGTATTATTTTGCTTGAACAGATATTTTCTAGAGTGACTGATTTCTTCGCATGACTCTTCTATAAAGTTTGCCATCGATAGCTTCGCTGGATGCTTGTTTAGTTTAGCACTAATTTATTATGCCGAAAATTTCATTCTGCTGTAGAATAAGGCTCCTTTACGTTATGCTCATGCAGTGTATGTCTCATGTCTTATTTTTCATGTTTGTTTTTACAACCACGTACAGTTTTCTATAGTTTTTCTTTTTTTCGTTTTTATTTTGATATATAGGATCTCCTTTTTGCATTTGTACTTTTCTACATATACATATACGTATACATTTATATATGTACACCCTTTTTTTCTCCGTCAATGTATATATGGTCAGTCGTGGATAGATGAGTAAGTTTCAGCAGTTTTATTTGCTTAGAAATGTTTACATTTTTTAACGATGTTAATAGCATCGGAAGTTCCTTGTAACATAGATGAAAATTGAATGCTTTTTTGCCTGTACGTGTTTCTATATACACGCATGTATATATGTATATTTACATGCAGTTATATGTGTATACATGTATAAAAGGGCATATATGATATAATACATACATTATGCACATAATGATGTAACACGTACATTTATAATACAATCGAAGATATAAATACTCTGCTAAAATTTTGATGCTAAAAGCTATGGTGACGGCGCTAAAATCTTTTACCCTTGTAAAATTACTAATGATTTCTTGGTATCTATGGTACTTATCATTCTCAATATTATAATCATTTTAATTTGCGAACTGGTTATCTCGAAAAATAGTACGTGTACTGTATATAATGTGCATTTAAACAGTAATAAACAAAAATAGATGAAAGTGTCATCATTTTGACAGCGAATACAATAGTAAAATAAATTGAATGAAAAGTAAAAGTAATGAAAGAATTAACGAATGAAAATGAACGATACTATAAGTCACATTGTACACACACTGATGTAACACATATAGAGATGTATTTTTCTGATAGCCAGTATGTGTTATCGCGACGGAAACATGATGTAAATCCTTATAGAAACGTGTGATTCTTAATTCCTTTTTTTTCTTCATTCTCAGATTACATTTCTAACACAGAAATGTTCGATCTTGAAAATGATCTTCCTGATGACTTGCTGTCATCCGGATCTTGGGGTTCCACAACCGAGAGCACCAAGCCACCTGCAACCGGTCCTGGTCCAGGGCAGCAAAATGGTGCTCTCGATACAGAACTCAGACAACATGTACAGCAGCAGCAACAACTCTCTCATCATCTCATTCAACAACAACAGGTACGATTATATTATACATTAGAGATCTTTTGATTTTGTTTGCATATCGATGCACGTTATACTTTACAAACAATTGTTAAACAGGGCAACAAAAACTTGGTGGCGAATTCTTTAGTAATGGCTGCTGGAACATTAGGCAATAAGAGTCCAAATATGCAATCACCACCAAACGTTTCCGTTTCTAAGGGAGGAATAGTCGATCCACAGATGGTCGTGAGTCTTGGTAATTTACCAAGTAGTATAGCCAGTTCATTGGCGAATAATCAAATGTCGATCGCGAATTCGATGGGCGGTTTACAATCGTCCATGAGTATGGCCGGAAGTAACCCCGCGATGTCGATGCCGGGTGGCATGAATTCCGGTTTAGTGATGACTAGCACCGCTAGTGGAAACAACATGGGAGGAATGGCTGGCGGGAGCTTGATAGTAACGAACAGTTTGAACAAACAACCTTTAAATACAGTATGTTGATTAATGTCATAGTAATTTTTCTTCTAGTAAAAAGGTAGATTGGATATTTGACCAAGAATCTTTTAAAGGTAACCATGATGGGCCCTAATACTCAAGCGATACATCATCCCGGTGCTCCTCACGGGGTTACACCGATGCAAAACGGTCCTGGAATGATGAACACAAGAGCTGTGGCAATGCAGCAACAACAACAAGCGCATATGGTTGGTCCGGCGAGGGGGCAAAGTCCTCACCAACAGGTGCATCAAGTTGGCATTGTCGGTCCCAATCAGGGTGGTCCAAGAATGCAGGCTCCTCCTAATATGGCAAATATGCCGACTATGGGGCAACTAGGTGCATCGAATCCGTACAGCTACGGTATATAAAATATATCTTTAGAATTTAACGAATTTATTGGCTCGTAGCCCTGTTTCTCCTTATTAGTTTTAAATTTATTGAGCCTTATTACAATCTACATTTTAATTCACGCGGGCGAAATGATGCGTTTAAAATCACAATTTGATTAAGGTGACGTTATTTCAGATTATTAAAGTTGCGTTTCAAGACCGACGATTGTTCGGCCCGCAATTTGGGGGGATTTTTCAGATAGGGTTGCGTTTCAAGACCGATGATTGTTCGGCGCGCAAGTTGGGTAGGGGGTGGTAGGGGCAATACATATATTACTATGGATAAATATTGCAAAGAATATTACTACGTCGACTCGCCATCAGAGGTCTATCGATATTCGTAAATTCTCGCAAGTGCTTTGATACGCGTATATCTCTTTATATAAAATCTCGATTGAATAACTCTTAGGCGTGAGGTAGAGGCTTCCACTACAATGCCTTACTGATGAGTCTAGTAGTGGAAGCCGGGACGAAACGCCAAAATTAGGTGATATTCTTTGCAATATATTAGAATAAATTAAAGAATTTAACGAATTTATTGGTTCGTAGCCTTGTTTCTCCTTATTAGTTTAAAATATATCTTCTTTTGTTTCATATATGTATATGAACGAAGAAGCGGACGTTGTCAATAGTTAGATACAGATAAACGATGAAAATAACAAATTTATAATACAGGTTCTCCAAATACGGTTGGACCAGGGGCAGGCGTAACTGTATGCTCCAATAATCCCGTAGGTGTCGTCAAACCGCAGCAGAAGGGCGTAGGAACAAACATGAGTCCTATGCAAGCGGCAGCCGCTGCTAGCAGATTTACTGGTGCTGCTGGTCCGATTGGTACTACGAATGTCGTGGGCGGTCAGGAAGGTGGAACGGCAGCACAGCAAGCGCAGCCACCAGCACCAAGTCCAGCTCAACCTCAATCGGGAGCACCGACCGGAGGGCAACCAGGTCCGCAGCAAGCTACACAAGGACAAATGCCTGGTGCTGGTGCTCCAGCGGGTAAGTTATATCTCTTTATTTTATGTATATATACATTATTGTAAATCATATTAGTTGTTGCAATACCTTTGCTCAATACGAACTTTGTTCGGTTTAGGCGCAAAATCGACACCAGATCCGGAAAAATGTAGACTCATACAACAACAATTGGTGCTACTTTTGCATGCGCATAAATGTCAACGACGCGAGAGTCAAGCTAACGGCGAGGTGAGACAATGCGCCTTGCCGGACTGTAAAACCATGAAAAATGTTTTGAATCACATGACGAATTGTCAGGCTGGTAAAAACTGTACGGTGCCTCACTGTAGTATGTCTAGACAAATCATCAATCATTGGAAACATTGTAATCGAAGTGATTGCCCAGTCTGCTTGCCGATAAAACAAGCAAATAAAAACAGGACTAATTCTGCGCAAGGTAATTTAAAAATATCTGTGATATTTTAATATTTTGGCGATATTCCAAAAATTTTTTTTCTTAAAGAAAAAACGTAAACGTAAATTTTATGATCTTTTAGAAAATAAAAATCTGACAATCTAAAAAAGAATAAATGTGTTTACGTTTTTTTATATCTTCTGGTTTAGCAGTTATTTCAAACAGTATCTAAAGATATCCTGTGTACATTTACGTTATATATACTATATATATGTATTTTTTTTATTAATAGCGCCCGCAATTCAACCAAATAATCAGCCAAATACAAGTCCATCCGAAATGAGAAGGGCTTATGAAGCTTTAGGGATTCAATGTCCAACAACAACATCGGGAATTTTACCTGGTCAAGGCGTTGGAAGAGGCGTCAGAATGCCAGGTCCCGGTATGACAGGTCCTCCAGGAGCACTGGGGAATGTTAGATTAGCGCAACCTCAAACACAGAGTGAGTTGCATGACATTTTATATTAACTGTTTGCTTTTCTCAACTTTTTTAAAACTTTCAACTCTAAAACATTTTATAAAATTTATGTATATGTATATAAAATTATATTTTGTTATATTATTTTTTTATATTCTGCTAAAAGTATAAAATATGATTTGTATAGATTTTTACGAGAAAAGCAACAAGCGATGGGCGCCCATGTGTGTTTCAGCTGCACCGGGACAATCCGTAGTCGGTGCTGGACAACAAGTAGTCGCTCCGAACGTATCTCTTCCTTTAAATTCCGATCCTAGTACTGTCGGAGTAGCCAGCAATCAGACTGTACCGACAACCGGACCCACATCCGCCGCAGCAGCAGCCGCTGCCAATATACAACAATCTGTTAATATGCAAACATTGTTCGGACTGAACGAGTCTGGACAACCTGGTGTGATAGGCGGGGAAAATAGATTAGCAAATCTGCAGCTTCCAGGTGGTCTTCAACCCGGACAAGTCACTGCGACGCCGATGCAAGGAACAAAGGATTGGCATTTGTCCGTCACTCCTGATCTCAGGAACCATCTCGTTCATAAATTGTTAGTGAAAATTTTATTATATATGACTTTTCGAAACTTATTGAGCTATAACTCAGTACGTTATAGCGTGTGTTTAATTTTCTTAGGGTTCAAGCGATATTCCCGACTCCCGATCCACAAGCTATGCTCGATAAAAGAATGCACAACTTAGTCGCATACGCGAGGAAGGTAGAAGGTGACATGTATGAAATGGCTAACACTCGGTCGGAATACTATCATCTGCTAGCTGAGAAAATTTACAAGATTCAAAAGGAACTCGGTAAATAATGGAATTTTAACAACATTGAAACATCTTTTAACGCTAGTGTTTATTTTTATTTATAAACCATTTTATGTAATAGCTGTCTTTTAATATGACTTTGATTAATTTATATATGACATTATTTGAAGACTATTTCAAATACAAGTACAGTATAAATTAAGCAGTTCATTTTCAAATTTTTTTTCCATTATTAACATTTCATTTTTTTAAATGAGAATATATAATTTTATACATACATATATATATATATATATATAT